TTCTCTGCATCATTACTTGGATATTCTTCAGGCTCCAAGTTTATACAATCAAGTGGGCTAGATGATGCAGGATCGCCGAAGGTAGAAGCACCAAAGCGCATTGTTTCAGCCTCGCCATTTATAGATTCATCTATGTTCAGTAACGCAACCACTTGTTCTTCCGTCGCAGTTAATGAACAGAATCTCGATGGTCCACCTCTTGTTCCCGACATGCTCTCCTTATTCCTTCGTAACTTCGCCTTAATATTGCTTTTGTAATCTGCCCATATCTACATAAAAAAAATTATAACGTTTTACAATATGGTTCACAAAAACATAATGGCCCGTAGTCATATCAAAATAAAGTTGACTTTAAAGTTAGTTGCAGCTTTTTGACATAATTTTCAATGGGATATCTGCCAAAAAAGCTGCAACTAACTTTAAAGTCGACTTTATTTTGACTATGACTACGGGCCATTAAATTTGTTACCTTTTTCCATTCAGTGAAGTTATGAGTTGGAGGTTCGCATGAATTAAGCTCATTTTCTAGCCTCTTCCACAGATTATTAGAGGTTTGCTTTGCAGCTAAACCCTTAATTTGACCTTTCGCCAAATCGCTGTGTTCCATCATGAAATTTACCAATATTTCAAATTGTCGAGGCTTGGTATTTGGTTGTTTGATTTTCGTTGTCCTAAAAATTATTTTTTGATTAAATAAATACATATTTTCACAAATATTATTGCAATTACTTACATTTTTGCGGACGTCCGAGTGCTTGGTTGCTGTCGAATAGAATTTTCTACAATTCCACCATTTTGACATTTGCTTTCGATGCAGGGAGTACCAAATTTTCGAAAATTCGAAAGGGGATAAAGAAAATTCGAAGGGAACAGAATGAAATTCGAACATCGAACGAATGTTACTCGAAAGGTGCTTTCAGAGTACCAATCGTTCGAAAGCGAACAAATTTTCTTTCGAATCGAACTACAGAGTAAGGGCCCTGATATTAAGGCTCGTCCAAAGCAATTTTGGTCTTACATCAGATCGAGGAAATCTGCCTCAAGTATACCCAAGACTATTTTTTATAAAAAATAGAATGCGGCTTCTGTATCCGAGGCTATAAATCTCTTTGCAGATTTCTTTTCATCTAACTTTGTATCGGATAATGACTTTGTATCGGGGGATGAACTGTCAATTATTCGAAAAAACTATTCAAATAGTGCGTTTTCTACCGTGGACCTGGGTTCGCTTTCTTTAACGGAAGACGATATTATCGAGGGTATCAAAAACATAAAAAACTCAGCTCAGATGGACGCAGATAGCTTTTCAGCCATCTTGTTCAAAAATTGTGTTTTCCTAGTGAAGCCTCTATTGCAAATCTTCAATAAATCTCTTTCCGAGGGTTTGTTTATTGATGACTGGAAGAGAACGTCAATCATGCCAGCCTTCAAAACAGGCAATAAGTGCGATGTTGAGAACTATAGGCTGATTAGTAAATTATCCACAGCCGCCAAAATATTCAAAAATATCGTCAAAACTAAACTTTATTTTATTGTCAAGCACTTGATCTGCCCAAACCAACATGGCTTTGTATCTGGTAGATCCACGGCGACAAATCTTGCAGTTTTTACCGATGATTGTTTTTCAACTTTCCGTAATGGCTTTCAACTGGATGTGATTTACACAGATTTTTCGAAAGCCTTCGACAAAATCTCCCACAATATCTTATTAACAAAGTTAGAATGTTTAGGAATCCACTCAGGTTTCTTGGAGTGGATCAGGTCCTACTTGCGTTTGAGAACTAGCAAGGTGACTATTGATGGTGTTTCGTCCAAGCCGTTTATTGCTCTCTCAGGGGTTCCTCAGGGAAGCATCTTAGGCCCATTATTTTTTATTCTTTTCATTAACGACATCAGCTCCTGTCTTTCAAATGTTAGGTTTCTCTTGTTTGCCGATGATCTGAAAATATATTCGGAAATGAGTTGCTCACGAGACTCGGCCGAACTTCAATCGCAGCTTAATTGGTTTTATACGTGGTGTGTTCAGAATCGGCTTACCCTCAACATCAATAAATGCCACAAAGTATCCTATTATAAATCAAAACTACCTCTTACGACATCTTACTCCATCGCAGATATTGTCCTTGACTCGAAAAGTGAGACTAAAGATCTTGGAGTACACTTCGACTCAAAACTCACTTTCACTCTGCACATAAACAAAACTATAACTGATTCTTTTGCCATGCTGGCATTCGTTAGGCGTCATTCTTCCGAGTTCACTGATGCTATATACTGCGTTTGTGCGTTCCAAATTGGAATACGCTGCCTTTATTTGGAGACCGAGTCACGCAGTTCATATCAATCGTTTGGAAAAGGTGCAGAAGGTATTTATACGCTTTGCCTTTTTTTTTTCGTAGGAGAGGGAAAGGCTTTATGCACTGGCCGGGGGCGCTAGTCTCTATACTACCTTCCCCGAGTGTGGGACTCCCACCGAAGCGTGTTGGGCTACCCACTAAAACCCAAACTCCCACCGCCCGCGCAAGAATCCCGCATTTGGCACCGCAATTCGGCATGTCTTCAGATGCAGGAGCGTGCTGTTAGAGCCTTGGGGCTGCTCTTTTGTAGGGGCGTTTCATTCGAGTGTCCTCAGTAGACAACCGTCCTCTCGTTTGCAGCGGAGTACGAATTTCACGTATCTCGCAACTGCTTCCCACTTTTCTGCGCTGGAGATCATTACCCCAACTATGTTGTTCGGAGTTATGTCTCCGTGTCTTTCTTCCAACATTCTGCCGAAATCAAGAAGTGTTCGCAGGTGAAGAATATGTGGAACACGTTATCTTCGACGTTTTCAAAGTAGTGAGAGAACGGTGAGTCCACCCTTCCCATTCTATGAAGATATTCTCTGAAGTAACCATGACCGGTGAGGAATTGCGTCAGGTAGAAATCGACCTCCCCACGTGGTCTGTTCAGCCATGTTTGAAGGTCGGCTATCAGGGAGTGCGTCCATCGAACTTTTGTGCTCGTGTTCCAGTTTTGTTGCCACTGCTGGATCAGTTGCTCGCGCGCCCTTGCCGCGGCAGCTGCTCGACCTATCTCGGCACTGAGATTGTAAATCTCTTTTCGCTCGTAAGCAAGTAGCTCAATTGGCATGACGCCAGAAATAACTAGAACCGCGTCCGCGGACACTGTACGGTATGCAGGAGCAATGCGTAGTGCCCCTCTGCGCTGTACCGAAGACATTTGAATGCGGTATTTTTTGACTTTCAATGCGTCAGCCCATATTTCTGCCCCATACAGGAGCACCGATAGGACCGCTGTCATCAGAAGCTTCCTGCGGCATGGCTTCGGGTCGCCCACGTTCGCCATCAGCCGGCTTAGAGCCGCCGTGCTCTGCGCAGCTTTTTCACATACTCCATGGATGTGTTCCCAGAATGTGAGTTTGCTGTCAAGCTTCACCCCTAGAAGTCGTCACGAGTTGAGGTCCGACCATCATATTTATAATTGTTGGGATCCGTTTCCTGGTGAGGATCACGATCTCCGTTTTGGCTGTAGCCAATTGCAGACCGCGATCGCTCATCCATCCACTGACGTTGCGCATGACCTGGTTTAGCTTGAGCTGTGCTACCTGGGCATTTCTTGCTGTTATGACGGCGGCCACGTCGTCCGCGAAGGCGACAAGGAAGGCGCTCTCCGGCATTTCCGTGCGCAACAGACTGTCATACGTGGCGTTCCAGAGGTCCGAGCCAAGTACAGACCCCTGTGCCGCTCTGCCGGTTATACATCTCTTTCTCTGACCTTGTGTTGTGTCGTACAAAAGCCAACGGTCTCTGAGGTAGTCCCGGATCATACCTATACACTTTGCTCGGGAAAAATTGATTGTGCGTCCCTACTTGAGAGAATTTATTTTTATGTTCCGAGTCGTAATTTGCGTCGCTTTGATGTCTTCAAGGTTGGGTTAAGCAGAACGGCTTATGGTGCAAACGCGCCAATAAACAGAACCTTATCGGACTACAACTATTTCTCAAATTTGTTAGACATAGATTTTACCAATCCTAGTAAAACCGCATTATATTTGGAAAATTACCTTATGTCCGGTCAATAATATCTGCCCAATATCTGTATTTCTTGTAACCTTATAAACGCAACTTTCAAGTAGTAATATTAAATAATATTAAGACTGATTTGTTATATTTAATTATACTCTTAATGTCTGTTAAAACATTCTGTTATTAGACATAAATAAATAAATAAACAAATAAAAATATATAGATATGATCCACTACACATACATATGTGCCTTTATATCGTCGCTCGAATAAAGAAACAGTGTAAATGCCACATACACTATTATTCGATAATTGCA